TATTTACACATATTGATTGACTACAAGGTCTGCAGTGGTCGCGAATATCAAAAATAACTCTGGAAATGAGCGCGAAAATGAGCACTACATATTTTTTCATCTGTCATTTTTCTGCTAGTGAAATATACCAGGGTTAACATGACTTGTATTAGCAATTCCGATGTGACTGATTTAAACCTATATGTCTCAAACTGCACCAAGCTCTTATCAAAAGTGTCTCATTTTCAAAAGACTAAAATAGCAGATGGTGGAAGAAGTACTCAGTTTTGTAACTTAAAAGTATCACATGAGAAAAGTAAATGGTCACATTTTTCTATAGTGCTTTTCCACCTTCAAGGCACTCAAAGCGCTTTACAACAAGGAACCACTCACCCATTTACACACACACACACACACACACACACATTCACACACCAGTGTACACAGACACTGTAGTGGGTTAAGTGTCTTGCCTAAGGACACAACAACAGCATTCATCTGTGGGAGCTGGAATCACACCAGCCAACCTGTGGGTCAGTGGATCTGACTGCTCAACCTGTGATGTTTATGTCGAGAGCTGGAATCGAACCGCCAACCTTCACCTTAAGTACTCATAAAATACCCATTTAAAGGTGTATTTAAAGAGTAAAATGTAAAAGTATTTCATTCTGATTTTGAGATCTAAAAAAACTTAATAGATAAAAGATTTGTGCTGAATTTTGATTCTTGGAACAATTTTTTGGCATATTTTAGTTTGCTTAGATTATGAATGTGTTAAAAATAACCTCCCGGTCTTTTCAGCAGGTCTTAAACTAAAATAAAAAATACTTCAGTCCAGTTAAAAAATGTAGTGGAATAGAAAGCTCAGACAGCTGCTCTCAAATGTAGTGAAGTAAAAGTAAAAAGTATCCACATGTACTTAAGTTAAGTACAGATTTTTTTTTACTTAAAAGTGCATTGTGTAACCTTTCTGTTACATAGTATTGCATAGTGGATTTTCAAGTACAGTACTTTTACTTCATTACACTCACCCACTGGATAGAGCCTATTAATTCCTCAGTAACATTAAAAGGAAAGATATCGGACATACAAGCAGGCTGCATCTGGTAATGAGGATACCCGTACTTAACTGTGTCACTATATCGATAGTCGCCAGGGCAACAGGGTTGGAAAAGCTTTAGAAAGTTTAGATCTAATCCCTGCGAATGTCATTATGGTCATCAACTGTTGGCAAAAGCAAAGTTCCACCACCTCATTTGGTGACTCCACAAATGAAAGGCGGCGTTTGATGGTGGGCACTGCGCTCGTGGTGAAAGAGCCACAGAAACATGCGGGTGGTCTCAGTAGTTGTGTGTCTGTGGGGTCTCATTACGCTGGTGCACGGGTCTGCATGGTCCTTCATGTTTACACCATCTACACAGTCAACTACTCACACTATTCATATTATAAAAAAAAGAAAATGTTTAGAGGTGCACTGTGTAACCTGTCTGGTGGAAGGTCTGCCATCTGCTTGTCTCCATGGAGATGTTGTTGCTTTGTATTGAATGTCCTGATGTGGCATTAAACATATCCATTAACAGATATGCATCTACTGAATCTCATGCATCTGTGTTTATACAAAGAGGGCTGGGTGATATGGCAATAAACAATGAATAGATTATCTCATACTTTGGACAATACTGTTTTAGTGATATTATAATTTAGTTTTTTTCCAAATTTGATGCAGTTCTACACTTCCCCCTGCCTTTATCTCCTCGACCTCTGTCACTCTAAGGTGAAACAATTACACTGAGAGGTGAACTCTCAAGAGAATAAAATAAAAACATTTGTAAGGCTGCATGGATAATAATAAAAGCAAAATTGTGATCTGGTTTTAAAGGTGTATTGTGCAACTATTTTTGGAGGAGGGTCCATCAAATTAGATCAAATTACAGGTCAGATTTATGGAGAGGCAACCTCACTCACAGTCTGAATGCCTTGTTTTTGTAGGTATGTTAGAGCTATAAACCCACCTGCAATTGCATACATGTAGGGTAGAGCTGTTTAATGTCATACTGTGGAACATTCCAGGCAGAGCATATCCATACTAACAAATAGGGGATGGACCCCCAACCACAAAGTTACATATCCTCCTGAGACCTGGCCCATTCAGTTGTGTTCTTTATAGTGGACACTGAATTAACCAGCCTGTCTTTTAAGTGTTGTGAGATAGACTCTTTATGGGGGGACTTGGTTCCTCTGATTAATAGGGCTGGGGGGTTACAGGGAGTTAGTTTGTAGCTGCACTACAAAAAAAAAAAAAAAAAAAAGAAATTAAAAGGGAGTCTAAAAACCTTTTGTGGTGACTGTAGAAGCTTGTCAGAGATATTGTTCATTACAAAGTAGTTTTTTTTAGGTTCTTAACTTCATTTAACACTAAAATGTCCCAGGAATTCATGACAGAGGACATATTACAAAATTATAAATAAAAATAAAATGAAAAAAATCTAAATGCTAAGGTGTATATTTACCTCCAAATAGCTAAAAAATCATCAAAATATATATTGCACTACACTTTTTTTCTTTGGGTCCCAGGAGGATATTGTGCACCTTTAAGGAAATTGTGATTTTATTTATTTATTTATTTATTTATTTATTTATTTAGGAAGATTGCACATCCTATAATTAATGAACTAGATCTGAACCCAGAGAGACCAAGCTCAGTTTTGGGCAGCACCAGACGGGAGTTAGATCCTCTAATATACAAGATGCTTGAATTACGGTTTTCACCTTTTTCTTTAGTGCTGACAGGTCGTGAATTAATCAAAAACACTGCCAGACCAAATGAGCACCTGGACCAAAAACTGTTTCAAAATGTGATTTAGTTTGCCATGCCCAAATAATAACGGAGGTTCCATCTGTGTCTGCCCCAGAGCAGCCAGCTACCGAAGCTCATACCGACAGAGAATATGAGTAGGAGAAAATCAACAACGAAAAGCTCTAAAACTATAAATTATAATACACGCATGTTTTCCTTCTCACACAATGTCTGGTGTACTGAGAGAGCCTATTTATAGCAGTCTTCTTTTGTTCCTTAAAATAGTAAAAATAAATAAATAAACCCAAGAAGGAGCTTGTTTTATGTGACAAACACAAGTCTCTGTCACGTCTGTAATCAAATCAGGAATGTTCTATTTTCTGGATGTCAATGTAAAAAAGAGTGGTGAAAGATTGTACAGTACAAATCTAAAGAAAACTTACAGTTACTTCAATGTTATATCCAAATAAAAATGATTTTTATACAGACCAGTTTTATAGTTGCATGAGCTGACTTCTAATTAGCCACTTGGTTTTGGCATGAATCATGATCGATGCCTCGTTTGTTTCCATTGTGAGGATCTGAAATTACTGGGGCTTGATCAGTTGTTACTTATTACAATGGTCTGAGAATTAATCCATGAGGAGAATTAGTGTCTAGTCCGGCCCATCCAAATAAATGATGGGGGAGAGAGTGGGGGAAGGGGGGGGGTCCTGGGGGACAGTGAGCAGCTCCTCTCCTGCTCTGGGCCCTTCTGATTAAAATGTGAGTGATACGCCAATGTGCCAAAGTGAAGCAGATTAATGACTCACACATGCACACACACATGCGCATTCACACACACATGCACGTGCACATACACACACACACACACACACAGGCTGCCACTGGCCAATAAATCAATAAGGCCATTCCTAATGAACTGTGGTGATATGGTGGGTACATTCAGACCACTGTGCTGTGTAGGAGGGAGGGAGCTTTGCAACAATTTCTGTCATATCATGTGTACTTTGAAAAATGTCATTACAAGTGTAAAATGTCAAACAAGGCAACTCTAAACTCCAAACTCATCTATCACTCCATTAGTTATTGGATTTAGGTCATAATAGTGGCTACAGTTTTGAATGAATTTATAACACACTTGTTTTCTATCAGACTTTTTTAAACACTCAAAAAAGTGGCTTTCATTCCATCACCATAGGATGTTGACTTTACTTTTGAAGTCTCAGCTACCCATCTGAGATTATGGGAAGCGTGAGGTGCTCCACCATCAGCATAAATCATCAGAAGTGGGACCAAGTCTTTGTTTTGCAAGTCTCAAGTAAGTTTCAAGTCTTTCACCTGAAGTTCAAGTCAAGTCCCAAGTCAAACAGAGGGAAGTCCAAGTCGAGTTTCAAGTCACCGGCCCATGAGTCCAACTCAATTCCAAGTCGTTTGCTTTGAGCTTCAAGTCATTTCAAGTCTTTAAACCGAGGTACCAAATATAGCTTAGATTTTTTGCCATTTATATGACTTTTAAGATAATATTTTACTTTAAAAAAATCACAGTGTATTTATATATGAGTATTTATAGAGTATATAAGAGTTGTAGAAATTCATTTAGTTAATTTTTCTTTTTTAAATGTCTTGATGAGATCTTAGTGTAAATCATCACAGTCAGAATAGAAAGAATTCAGATTTAAAAGTGCTTCTCAAGTCTTCTCAAGTCACAGGCCTCAAGTCCGAGTCAAGTCCCAAGTCTTAGTCCATTTTATCAAGTCAAGTCTCAAAACCTAAAAATAGTCACTCAAGTCTGACTCGAGTCCAAGTCAAGACTTGCAAGTCCCCACCTCTGTAGTCATACACATAAAGTGTGGAGAAGTGTTTTGCGCTAGAATACAACGCAACTGGGATCAAACCAGCATATCAAACTTCCTTTGTCTGTATAAAAAAAGGCTCAGACTTTTAATGTAACTCTAGTACAATTTGCAAATAATCTGAACATCACCACATTGCCTCTTTCTTTCTCTTTTGTCCTCAATTGTTCTTAATTTGATTTTACACTAGATTTTCGTTTGCTTTCCACCACACATCACACAATGATGCTATTACGCACAGATCTCGTGCTGATTGACCACACGTCCCCCTCTTTTTCTCTCTGTGTGGTCATAAAATGTTACATAATCATACATTATCAGGATCTGGCAGCAGAAACCGATAGATGCGCACCGCGGTGATGGTCGGAGATAGCCTACAGCCTGGTATGCCCCGGTGCGCTCAGTAGTGGATCCGAGCAGACACGAGTCCCATTGGCTCGATGTGGACGTGCGGAGGAGAGCGGGAGAGCGGAGGAGCTATAAAAGCCGTGAGAGCGCGAGCGAGAGATCCAACCACCAATCTGGAGCTTATCCTCAGCCGCAGCAGAAGCACAGAGAACCGCGCGTAAAGATGAGCGAGGTATGTCCAGTGTTACCGTTCTCACTTTGAATGCACATTTTAAAGGACATTTTCGCTAAACAGTCCCTGAACTGTTGTTGAATTTATGTAAAGTTCCTAACTCAAGCTCAGTCATAAAGGAGCAGCGGCATTTAGCGACGCGCGTTGAAAGTTTTTTTTTTTTTTTTTTTTAAGTTTCAGTTTTGCACTTTTGTTATCGCATTACTGTCTTGTAATTTGATTAAATGACGTTGGTTCCATAATTAGTCGCTTTGTGCACATGTAATTTGTGTATTTTGATAAATTCTCAGATCAGAGGTGAACATATTATTAGACTATTTCCGTCCGCATGGCCATAGTCTAGTCTGTATCAAATTAGCTGTTGCACTGTTGCATATTCATGTTTTTTAGCTTCCCATGTGTCTATATGCTGATATTTTGAGGACTTTTGACAATTGGAGAGATATAATATTTTATTTAGTTAATTGCTATGGTAACAGTCCTAAATTGTCATCATTCTGAAACCTAGATAAAGCTCATCAGTGACCGCTCGCTCCAGTCCTGGAAGTCAATTTTCCATTCATTTTTTCTCATAGACGCGGAGGCTAAACAGCTCTATGTGCTAACTAATATCCATAATGTGAATGACTTAAGTCCAAAGAACACATTAAAAATGCAAGATTTGGCAAAATGTTTTAATAACTTTGGGGTTTATAAAGTTTCAGAAAGAGATTGCCAATACCGCGTAGCTGAATATGCCAGAGGAAGCTTTCAAACTTTTAATATGATATTTTTCTGAATGTCTATGGGAAAAATGAATGAGAAATGACTTTTGGACCCGGGGGATAGTGGTCACTGTAGAGCAGCCTTCATATTTTACTTGAGTGATATTAATGTGAAAGGAAAATTATGCTGATATGACACCTTAGCCTAATACTACTCTACTACTTCTTAAACTACTACTGCGACTACTATTACTACTATACTTACAGTTACTATGAATACCACTACACCGTAAAATATGTGTAGGTTTAACACTAAAAGAATTATTTTTTACACTGCTTCAATGAACATATGGTCACATTCCCTACAAGTTTACTCTTGAGACAGCGTTAATTAAAGTCATATAAATGCTCTTTTTATTTTAGTGTGTGACCTAACTGTGTATTAACAGCACTGGGAAAAAAATGTGAAATTGTGATTTTTCTGTAACAACTCTGATAAGTGTTTATTTAACATTTGAAGAGTTAACATTGTTTATCACTCTTGAGAATTCACTGTCTACTACTACTAGGCTACTACTTTCACCTAATATTACTACTTACAACTTCTACTACTACTACTTTTAGGGATGTAACAATAACAGAAATATCATGATATCATATTGCCAAAAGTCTTACAGTAATATCGTGAGCTTTCACAATATATCAGTTTACAAGTTCCTTTGCTTAAATGCATTGTTTTATAGTATCAACAGCTTATCAACATAGGGAACTACATAACCCATGATTCATTTCACTGCAAACAACATGAAGAAATATGTTTTTTACTTGAATTCTTGGGATTATGATGGAAATAGTCCACACTAAAATCTTGTCAAGGTATTTTAAAAGCAAAAAATTGTCTCTTCAAAATATCAAAATAAATATTGGATTGTGAGATTTGGATATTGTTACATCCCTAACTACTACTACTATTACTACTACTACTACAATTTTGTATTCAGTCATAAACCTTGCATTTCCAAAGCCCATTCGAGTGTGAAGAATAACAGGGTGAATCTAAGGGTGCACTGAGTGACCTTGCCTGTATACGCATGACCCGAGCCTGTTATAAGTCCTTGGAGACAGAGACCTATACGTTGAAGAAGAAGAGGAAAAAGAAGAGGAAGAGTATATAAACCATTGTAAAGATCCACTGAAGACTGATTCACTGGCAGCGGTCACATCCTATATTCACTGAATTATTCAAGGCTCGCTGTGAACAGGGACACGTCAAACAGTGGAGCTCACAGAGAAGGTTCAGTCTACTACGAGGGTTATGTTCTACAGATGGAGCTGTTGTGTTGCTCAGATAAAACATTAAAAGAAAACAGTAAAAACATGTCATACTATAAGGATATGGTCTGCCATCTTGAGACATTGCTTCTGTTACTATTTTTGGGATTTTCTCAGTGCACTGCAAAATAGGGAAGTTGTGAGTGTGTAAAATGTAAAAAAGAAAAGAAGGTTACCAGTCCATTTAATGATAACAGAATAATTATTCATGGATTTCAGTTTCTTTCTACCATTGAAAAGACAATATAATATTGGTAGTAATTTTTCATCATTACGCACCTCATCCAGGAGCAACTTTTGAGAAACACCAAAATATGAACTGATTGTGGCATGAGTTTTTGAACATACTAGTATGGGCGTACTGGGTTTAAAGGTCCTATGTTACACAAGATTGACTTGTGTGAACTTTAAGTCATGTTAGGAACATTGTTATCTCCTCAAAAACATATCCAGAGGTTAGGACTAGGTGTTTTGTTTTATTCACACATGTTTGAGTAACTTATTATTATTAGTCTGTCTACATTTCCAAAGCTCAAAATGCTTTGTTACACCTTGTGAAGTCATGTAGTGGTAGTTTTCAAGTTAACATCTCTTTTTACTTTTTATTCAGTAAAGACTGGTAATTTTAGGGCTGAAATTATCCAAGTGTTTTTTGTTTGAGAGAAAAACTAAGCCTAAATGTGCAGGATTCGTGCTTTAAACATGTGTGAATGAAACAAAATGCAACTCCAGCTATGTTTTTGATGAGGAAACAACTTATAATTATAACATAGATCAAAAAAATAGCACAAAACAGGTCCTTTTACGGCATCTTGGAGACAGGGTATTTCCCTACAAAGGACAAATAATTGGGTTTTCCTGACTTATTGATTGTCTGACTGTTACAATTGAAATCACAGCCTTAATCATCATCCAACCCTAATCCATATAAGATTCAAACCAGACATCTGTCCATTTCACAACTTATTTGGGTGCTAATTAAATGTACTGGCTGTACTTTAATTTTACATCATTCTCTTATGAGTCTATTGTATTCTCATTTCTCTGTTTCTTATTCCAATGAAAAACCCACACCAAGAGAAGACCGGGCTACACTGAATGAATAATTAAGCAACCAATCAATAGCAGTCTCTACCTCCTAACTTCCACCTTTCTTCCTCACCTCCTCTAGGCAACAAAGCGTCTCAGAATAAAGAAATAAATAAAAAGAAACTTACTGCAGACGTGAGTTATGACAGGGCTTTTCAACTGTGCTATTTCTTCCGTAGGACATCAGGCATAATTAGAATCCACTCAGTGTCTGCCTTTATAGTCATTTATGGGCAAAGGGAGCCCCCATAGTGTGAACAGACAGTAAATACATCAATACTGGCACTGTTTTTCACTGTAGCGTCCTTCCCCACTGCCCACAACCTAGTCTGTCCTTACTGAAGCTGGACCACACTCTGCAGCTCTGATAAAATATGAATTGTTTGTATGTTTGAAAAGTAATATTTTTCGAGTTAAAAGCTTGGCTAAAACTTAAAAACTTAAAAGGCTTGTATTGGAGCAAAATTTGTCTTGCCCAAGTACAGAAATATTGAGCAGCTCTTGAGATCAGCACATGTTTGCTGCAAGTTGTCTGCATCTAATGATAAAGCGTTTTAAAGTCCAACAATCAGGAAGTGTCTCAGCATGCTAGTTGTTGTTAGCGTTACCGTGAGGCCCCTCTGGCCTCTGAAAGTTGTGAAAAGCATTTTTAAACTCATCACGGTGAATAATTAAGATGCTTGGAATGCATAAGGTAAGCAAGAAATAACTTTGGACCACTGCAAACACTTTTACGTTTTTAATAAGGATGTTATGATGTCCTTGCCTGATTCATCAGCCGGTTTCACTTTGTAGAAACCCTCTGACCTCGCAGCATTAGGATTAATTTGCTCGACAGTAGGCGGGTACTTTTTTATTTAAGCAATCGCTGCTATTTGGTTGTGATGTACTGTTAACAGGGCTAACTGGTATATTAAGCTTTTCCCAAATCCTGTAGGAAGAAGAGCAATAATGTCTTCCCCTTTGATAAAATTCACCAAACATTCTCTTTGTTCTGGCTTTAAATCCTCAATCTTGGATCACTGACAACACAGAATATATGGCTCTTCGCTGATCAGCTGGTGCCCAAACTCGAACTTCCGGGGGTTTTGCGAATGGTCTAGTGTATTCCGATTCCTGACCTAGTCACTGGAGAGAAATGAAATTGAGTGGAGGCACTAGGTGGCGCCAGCCTGGCTACTGATATTCAAATCTGAGGATATGATATTTTCAGGATATACAACTCATATATCTATTGTGAGAATTTGGAGATGCTGGCTATATAGTTTCATATGTTTTGTAGCTGTTGCTAAAATAAAACAAAGCATTTAAGCAAAGAAACTTATGGTTACATCCCTATTTTTTAACACAGTAAACAGCGTCTTAAGGTGTATAAAAGTGAAGTATTGTGCTGCCTGCTGCTGACTCATCTTATAGCCCCTATAAATACCTGGTGGGAGAGATAGTTTATGTTTAGTCAATAGAGAGCTATCACACAAGCATTAAATGTTACTATAACGCTATGTAACAGCCTCAGAAAGGGTGTCTATAAAAGTTAAAGGATAGTAAACATTCATTAACCATATACGCAGAATTTCCACAGTTATAAAAGTTTGTTAAGAGTCTTAGTTTCAAAAAGGAGTTGATGTTGTGATGTTTTATTTTCTATTCAAATACCTTGTGTCATTTCAAGTGGATTTACCCAAAATGCACAACAAAATTATGCAGATTCAGCCCAGCGGGAACATCATTAACAGACCAGAAAGTTAAAATCAGCACCAAAAATACAGTGACACACCCACTAATCATGAACAAGAAGTGCAAAAAGTCCCAAAGCTGAACTGTACTTGAGAAGTTATGGAACGCATAGAAGAAAATGCATAATTCATCTTAAAT